TTATTAATTATTATTATATAAGTTTAAATTTTTTTGAGGCTTAAGAAATGTTATGATCAATTATCATCGACTGATCAAAATCTAGGATAAAAATTTTTTTTATTGTATCGTAAACATAAAAAAAAAAAATTTGTTTCTTTGCCTGCTTATCTTATCATTCAAAATCAAAAAAAAATTCTCTCCGCGTTACCGATTTCCTCCCATAATTAATAATGATAATAAAAAAAGACAATGTAAAAATTAAATGAAAAATTTATTGTTTTGAACATAAAATATTAATAATTTAACAAACTTTTTATTAAAAGGAACCAATTTACTTTTTGAAATGGCTGAAATTAGATTTTGAATTATGCGCATGACGATTATGTGCGATTCCGCCGATTTTTTTTTTTTATTTACTAAAGCATCCTAACAACTTTACTTATCTTTTTTGCCTATCATTGGAATCAATGGGAGATTATGATAACAAAATTTTTAGAAAAGCAGTTTTTATATGGAAAAATAGCATGTGAACATCATCCAATCGAATCTCCAGAGCTTATCGAGAGCCGTTTTTCATTGGAAAAAGAACAATTTCCTTTGAAAAAATTTTATTTTATACGAAACGTTGTAAAATGATTCATCGACAGCGCATGCATTTTTTTTATTTTTATTACAAACAATGTTAACTTGGACTTGGACAACCCAGGTAACCTAAAATCAATAATCTATATCTTAACTCGGTAAAGAAATCTGGAATGACGAATACACAGATACACAACTTGTTTAAATAATTCGAAATCTGTCAAATACAAACTTATACTAGATTATCTTGTCACTTCTGCTTGTAAGGAAAATCATCATTTCCATTACGTTTCATCTCTGCGTCGAGCCAAAGGTGTGTTGCTTTCCTTTCATCTGACCCACATTATTGTCAGAGATATTATCATGTGCGATGCTTCCTTAATGTTCCGAATTTCTCATAATCTTCTTCACGTTCTCTTCCGAAGCAATTTAAATGAAAGAATGGCGATGACCGAACACGATACATCTTTGTTTTTATATCAGAGATTAGAGATGGAAAAAAAAATTTTTTAAAAGTGCCCATAGGAAAAAATCAATGTTATGTTATTTATCTTAAAAAATGTTGCAGGATAATCTTAATCTCGGTTTGCTCTGAGTCGTTTCTGAGTTACCATGTCATGGGGTCCAAAATGGCGATAAAAACCTTTTGTTAAAAAAAAAAATACGTTGGGTCCGCAAACGTGGCTGCGCCAAGCTGCGCTGCAGATCATCGGCTGGTCATGGGTCGGATAATCCCGCATGTAAAGAATTTTGTAGGTAAACATTTCCTTTTACAGATCTTTTTTGCCGAGTGATCGCTGAGTTGAATGATCGGCATTAGTCAGGAATCTCAAAAATACCTTTTGCTCGGATTTTATGGACGGATTGATACGCTTTTTTTTTTTTAATAAAAAAGGGAAAGGGCTTTATGTAATCCGTCAAAAACGCACAAAGTCAAGTGACATTGCCGATCGAAATTTCGCCATCAGCAGAATGAGATTAAAAAAGAATTCAAAATGGTCAATTTCTCATTTGGAAATGAATTGAAAAAAAAAAAAGATTCGGTAAACATCGACGAAAAATATTTGAGAGATGGATTAAAATCGATAAAAATAAAGAACAATGAATGAATTAACATCATTTACGTCATTTATAAATAAAATAAAAAAAAGATACCGAATATGCAGAAGTCGTTAATTCAACTTTTACCCCGCTCAAAATATATTCCATTAATGGACATTAATATTATGAAAAAAAAAAAAACCAAAGCAGCAGCTCCTTTTTCTCATAATATAAAAAAATTAATAAATAAATCCAAATTTTTTTTTTGTTATTGTTATTATTTAATACGTTTTTAATATTCCGACATTTTAATCTTGCAAAATCATATCTAAAAGATTAGATCTACCATAAAAGTAAAGTGTGGTATAAAGTTCCGTTTAGATGTGCATTATCGATTTGAGTGCATACATACAGCACATACATACAGCATGAAAAAAACAAAAAATTTCGATCATTTAAAAAAATCTATTATTTATTAACCGCTAAAATTTACTTCATAAACAAAAAAAATTTCGAGAGTTGTTACACGGTTTTATAATTTCACACGTGCATCAAAATTCAATAACGTTTCGTTCCAATTTATAAAAAAACTCACGGACCAAAAAATTTAATCGATAACGAATTAAATGAAGGTAATTTTAGTAATTTAAATGATTTAAGAACCATGTGGGTTCTCTTTAATAATAAAAAACAAATATTCACATGATTGATAGTCAAAAAAAGAAAAACCCTAAAATATCATTTAAACTATAAATTAAGAAATACCAAAGATTTTGTGGTGTGTAACGTTTAATTAACGATAATTAATGATAGATGTCGACTGTCATCTTGGATGTTATATTAAAAAGCCAATAATAATAAAAAAACCAAAACTCTATTTTACATTGATGTTCAATAAATAATCAAAAACGGTGACATACACAATGAAAACCGGGAACAAATCCCGTATTTGGTTAGGCTTATCTCGGATATCTCTTTCAAAGAATAAAGACGTTATTTTCTCCCGATAAAAATACATAATATGTATATAAATTTCCTTTTCACATACACAAAGCGAAAGAAGCATCATATGACATAAACAACGTTTAAGAATTGAGATTATCGAAGGATAGATAAAGCATGGATTGTAAATTTTTGAAAAAAAAGGAGCAATGTGAGCTCCATTCATGCAATTAGATAGATAATATTGTAAATCCAAAGAAATTTTAAATTTACGCCGATACTCGTTCACACGCGTTAAATATAAAGTCTCACCTGACATAACGCAGATAATTTATTCATTAATTACATTTCCACACGCTCCCACGCACGCAATTTGGTGGATGTGAAGAAAATCATGCGGGAATTCCGAACTAATTAATACCACGCGTTCTTTTCAAAGTTTCATGTGTATGTATCAGGGTCCGCTGTTGCATCCCTTTTTTTTTTCTTTTTTCTTTTAATTTTTTAAAAAAAAAACCTTTTTGGGATTTACGAGGAATTTGGTCGATTAACGGTTAATCATGCTAAAAATGCTTCAATGAATTCACGCAAAAAATCCAAATATTACGAAGAGTTTTAAAGAAAGTTATCGCGTGGCACGTAAAGTATAAATAAACAATAATGCACTCGGTGATTATGGTACGACATAGATAAGATATCCAAGAAATAATTACGGAGAAGAACGGAAAACGTTGTACTAAAAACCAGCCACAAATTCAGTTAACCGAAATCTTGTTAAAATATACCACCAAATTTTTTTTTATTCCCCACATTTTCGATAAACCTCCAAATTTGTCAAGTATGAGAAGTCACATGCGAACCTATCAACCATTTCGTATCAAATTTGGTTTAGCCCATATGAAAATTTTAACAATATCTAGCATATATAAATGGGAATATTTTGACTCGGAACTTTCTCCGAGTTATCATTTATTTAATTTAATAAAATAAATGCCTCATCTTAAATCCTCATATCAAAACTAAAAATTTCATTGTATAAAAATCATTTAATTGTGATTGGTCGGTCGTTCTCAAGAAAATAATTATCATGAGATTAAGTTTCTGATTTTCTTGCTAATAAACTAAAATCATGATAAAAAAAATCCTCGTACTAATAATATCACCATGTATATGCATTTCATTGAAAGATTACATTCTTTTAAAAAAATAAATAAATAAATCAATATCATTTATTCTGTGAAGTTAACAACCTTGTACGCGTGACGCAATGATAACTCGCGTAGATCTTGCTGTTAATTGCTAAATCGTTAAATCGTTATCGTAAAGCTGTAGGATGCACATAAATAAGACCAGTCCTATAAAGGCCAAACAATGGACTAAAATTTCTATTCAGATAAAGATTTTTTTTTGTCATAGATTATGAAGTTATTGAGTAATTTCTATTATTACAAACATTAACAATATTTAAAGATTTGTTATTATATGCAGACGAATTTTTGTAATTATATATATATGATCACGTATTCTTAGTAAGACATTATATTTAATTCTTTGACAAGATCCGTTTAATTTTCAGAAACCTAATGATTTTTCGTTTTATGATCAAGTCGATTGCAATTGATTTTGTCGTTTAAAAGTTCATAGATTTGGAATAATTCCTTCTTTTAGATTATAAAAACTCTTGAAAAGCACAAAAAGTATTTAAAAAAAAAATCCATAATAAAATAACTTGCATAATCACGTGTTAACGATTCCTTTCTTGTATCGTCTTGGAACATCTCAAAATTAATAATAAGAAAATAGTAAATTACGATATTGTATTGTGATTAGTAAGAGTTGGAAATACATTGAATTTATATAATATGCGATAAGGATATGTATTGTAATCACCCGATGTTTTGGTTTAGAAAACAAAAATGAATAAGTAATAATTTCACGTGAATGTTAATATATATGGATAGAATTTAAGAATTGAAACTTTAAGAAGTTTAAACATTGTTTTAAATTTTATACCGTGTGAAAATTTTGATATTTTTGATTTGGATTCCCACACAACTTTCCCAGTACTCTGGCAACCCAAGTAAATAAAAAATTGGCAAATCGTGAAAATTTTTTCATGAAAATTTTTTTTTCTTTCTCAATCCTCCCAACTTATTAATATAATCATGTGTAACCTTAATACAGATGTCCTTTCCATCATATTTGAAGAATTCATTCTTAATTATAACACCCTCTTTTCGTGTTTATTGGTGAATAAATGTTGGTATGAAACCGTAATTCCAACCTTATGGAGGAACCCTTGGCGCAATCAAATGAAGAAACGGCAAAAAAGATCATTATTTGAAACCATCACATCATTTTTGTCAGAGGATTCCAAACGATTCTTAGAAAGTCAAGGAATTGAATTAGTCTACCGAATTCCGTCCTTTAATTATATAACCTTTTGTACATCCATGATTAATTATAACCTTTATGATATAATTCAAAATCAACCTTTAACGGATGATTATGATAGGTATATCGTGTTGGATGAAATATATAGGCTCCTCATTAGGAAATGCCTGCCATTAAAATACATGGATATGTCGTTTATGCAATACCAGTTTTACTTACTTCCGGGTGCTAAACATTGGCTTTCCGACATTTCTACCTTATGTTGTAGCGCTGTTACAGAACCTTATTATTTTCAAGGTTCAGCACCTTTATGTCAGTCCATAGAAGAATTATGTATCAATTCATGTCACCAGGACAATTATGGTCTGGCAAAATTGATTGAAGTACAAAAGAATTTAAAATATTTGGAAATTTCAAGAAATGAGGGTAATGGGATTGATTCGCTTGACGTCATTAGTCGCAGGTTGAATCATCATGCGAGGTCTATCATAAAATTTAAAGCTGTTTTTGAAGGAATTTTGATTTCGCCCAAGGTTCTGCCAGAGTTGGTGAATTTAAGAGAATTGGAGTTATCCGTGATTAATCTTAGTCAGAGATATGAAGAACAATTGAAACTTTCAACGTTTTCTAATCTTCAAGTTCTTAATATAAGAAACATTTCTGTCAAAACCATGGCCAATATAATTGAAAAGACTAATGGTCATGTAAGGAAGATTTGGGTTGATGACTATAAATTATGCAATGATTCTGAAAGATTAATCCGTGCTATTTATAAAAATTGTTCTTATATTGAAGAATTATCGATCGCTCTTTATAATCATAATTTTATGGAATTTGAAAAGTTGCTTCAACGATGTGGTCATTTAAAAACTTTATATATTAAAGTATTAAGTACGAAAGAGAATGAGAGTGAGGATAGGATGATTTTGTCAGAAATCTTAAAAGAATACGCACCAGCTTGTTTGAATAACATTACTTAGAATATTCATACAAAAATATTTTATTTTTTTTCTCCAAATTTCAAAAGAATACCGGATTTTGTTTATTTACAGTAATTAATTCAATAGAATATTATTCAAATCTCATTTGTCAGGAAATAAAATAATCTTTATCTGGGTACTCACCCGACAACAGGAAATGAAATCCGAAAATCAAAGTAAAATTTCCGAAATTTTCGACATAATATATTTCGATCTTTGGCGTAAAATTCGGCATCGGCGATCAGCCACAATATAATAATTAATCAATTTTTGGAAATTTTTTAAATTACAGTAAGCCCTTGCTCGTGAAAGTCGTGACAAGCCACATGGGTCACTAAAGTTAAAAAATGGATAATCGTTTTGTTTATTCTTATGACCTTTTTGATTTGCAAATCTTTGTTTCCATATCAGATTCAAAATTGCAATCTATTTGACCTTTCTTCCTTCTATATATATTTTGTAAAACCAAAGCAATTACCTAACTTTTTAAATGTTAATTCTTTCATTGATCTTTATCTGTAGATGATTTTATTTAGTAATAACGATTAAATTTAAAAAATATGCTTTTTAAAATTTCAAGATTAATAATTATTTCAAGAAACAATCATTAAAATATCTTTGATCTCATCTACTTCATCTTTAGAACCATTTAATTTTTTTTTTATTTTTATGAAAATCTTATTATAAATGAAATATTTTTTATTATATAATATCACATAAAATAATATATAAAGATGTATAGTAATAAAATAAAAAACATAAAAATTTTTTTTTTAGTTAATATATTTTACTTAAAAAATCATAAAGTAAATTTATTTTTTTATTTTTTTTCTATTGCAAAATATTAATATATATATACAATACAAACTATTTAAAAAAATAAAAATTTTATATGTAATATTATTTTATATATTATATAGGTAATCATTATCAAAAAATGTTAATATAAAATTAAAGAATGATTTTTTAAAATTAAGAATTTTCAATAAAATTTAATTTTAATAATTCTTCAATTAGATTGATTGATTTCTTAATCTTTTGATTTTTACTTTTTTTTTTTTATATTTTTTTATTTAAAATTATTTTTGTTTTTATATAATTATTTATTTCTTATATAAAATATACAAAATAATTAGTTAAAATAAATAAGTTTTATTATTATTTGATTTATAAAAATAAAATTTTTAAAAAATTAAAAATTTTAAAATATTATAATAATATTTAGTTATATTTATTTAGAAATTAAATTTATATTTTATATAATTTAATTAAAGTTAGGCAGCATCAATTTAATTTTTTATATTACATTTCTCTACTTCTCTGATTTTTCAAAATATCACAAAAAAATCTACCTATTACGAATGTCAGATCATATGACTAATCATTTTAATTAACATATGATATAATTCTACCATTTTTTTTAGAATGAATGTATACTTTAATATTTTTTCTAATGAATTTTTTTCATTAAATATATTAAAATAGTATTTCATCTTCTTTTTCTTGTTCTTTCTGAATTATTAATATTTATAATAATTTTTATTATATTTCAAATATGTAAAGGCCTTAAAAGTTTAATTCAACAAAAATTAAAAAAGTGAATGAGAAAGGTTTTTTTGATATATTTGATTCAGCTATTTCAGATGCATATTTAGGAAAAATGATTCTAATATCAGTTTAAGCTAATGATATAAACTCATAGACACTTATAAAAGAAGGATTAGATATTCAAATAATGCTTATGAAATCACTTAAGTTTTTTCAAGTAAAATTTACAATTATTTTTAAAGAAACAACTAATTTACAAACATCACCTCTACTAAATTTACAAAATGCTTTTGAAAAACTTATGTCTACTGAAATCAAACTTCCTATTCGAAAATAAAAATTGTGTTTGAATTTATTTTATAATAAAATCATTTCACTTTTAGAGAGTAAAAAAGTGAAGTAAGTTTGTAATTCTCATCAAATTAATAGGTAAAATTTTATTATATGTTTAACTAAATCAATTTGATATATTGATTCACATTTAAATAGACTATATCTTTGAAGAATACATTTATCTAAGATTTTTTGTGACTTATTAACTAACCAAAATAATGATATTTATGACAAATTTTATAATATAGGAACTTTACAATAAAAAGAAAAGAACTCTAAAAAAATTAAAATTTTATTTTCTAAGCCAATTATGATTTTTTTAATAAAATAAGTTCAGATTTAACATTAATTTAAAAAAAAATTTTTTCAAGTTTCCTTCCTTTCTTATATACTAATAATTTAAAATAAATCTTTCTTTTTTATGTATTTCTTTTCTAAAATATATTGTCAAATATCATTATTTTTCGTGATAAATATAAATATAAAATAAAAATAAAATAAAAATATTTTATTGTAAATTAAACTTTATTAAAAATAATATAATAAAATAATAATATACAAAGCAGTTTATATTCTCTCTCCATCTAAAATATATTTGTTATTACCTATATTAAAAAATCTTACATATCTATCAATTCTAATGACTTCAAAAAATTGATAACTACTAAAATATTTAAAATATATTTATACATAATTATTTGTATTAGGGTTCCTCAAAATCGAATTGAATCAAATATTTAAGCAATTTGAATTTGATTTGATTTTTTCAAATCGAATTGAATCAAATTGAATTGAACTCAAAT